GAAAAGCAAAAGGGAAGCAGCATTTGATCCAGTGAGGAAAAGCCCTTAATTAACAGTTGAGCTTTCAAAGGTTAATGAGACCGTCAAGCAGCACTGTCAATCCCAGCTTCTGTCAACCCCAGAATTCCCTAAAAGCACTAGCGAAGAAAGTTGGACTGAGGAAGTGGTAGTGGGGGAGGGGCTACAGGCTGTATCTGGAATATTAGCACTTCGAATCAAGAACTTCACATGACATTGGTGCTCATTCTCAGCTCTGCGTTGAGAAGTCAGAAAAGGAGCTGCAGAAGGATGCCTGTCCATGATCTCTGCTTCCTTTGGAATTTCTTGAGAAAATCCAGCCCCTATTTGAAAAAGACAACCTGTTACTGTTTTCTACCTTTTTTTCTTGGCATTTAATCTAGAAAAACGGAAGCGCCAAGAAAAGAATTGTCACCCAGATGTAGCACTTCAATTCAGCTGTACATGCCTATTTATACAAGTATTTTAATGTTTGCAGACAAAACTGAAAGAAGTCCTTTTAGCACTTCAATGACCAATGCTCAGGAATTAAGAGATGGTAAACTCTGTCCAACAGTCTGATAACGGTGGCCTCAGAGTTTCAAGATGCTCCTTTAGCACCTTTAGAATTCAGAAGCCCAGGGCAAAGGACTTTGCCTCCTGCCAAATCTCTCCCTAAAAAACATCTATCACTGGAGGAGAGGGGTGTCAGCAAACATTTCCTATACAGCATCCCTAGTAGGTATTTAACTCTTGGAGCCATAGCTCTTTGCAACAGCTACTCATCTCTGTTGTAGTGCCATAGGCAACACCTGAATGCATGAGCGCAGCCATGTGCCAATAAAACTTTATTTACAAAAACAGGCTGCTGGGCTGAGTTTGGTTCACAGGCCTTAGTTGGCTGATCCCTGATTTATCAACCATGGAGTGATGTGATATTTGGTAACATCAACATGTGGAAACTTACTAAGATTCTCATCAAAACCCTTTGTCCTTTTTATATGTTTTTTTTTCCTCTCTCTCTCTCTCTCTTTTCAGTTTAGTAGAATTTACTTAAGCTTTGGTAGGGTTATAAGAAGAGGGTCATATCACCAAATGAGGAGCTTTTTCTCCCTTTTCCTCAACCCTTCCTTCCCTTTGCTCTCCTCTCCTCCCTGCCTACAACCCATCCAATTTTTTCTTTTTTGTTGTTGTTGACAATATAATCAATTTTATTAGCAAAATCTAGGTAAATTCTATCATATTTAATATAAAATTTAAGTTTTCCCCTCTGCATTATCATTGTTTTATTGTTTGAAGCATTACAAATAGTAGTACATATGTCTCCTTTTTCCCCTTCTTGACCTCCCTCAGCCTCCCCTACCCACCCACCCCCGCATATGCCTTCACCTGTCCCCCTCCCCATGTCTTGTATCCATTGGTTATGTTTTCTTTCTCATTATGAAAATAAGATATGGTCATTGTAAAAATGTAGAGAAAAATAGAAAATATACAAATTATTCATGCCATCAGACATACTCCTTAGATTTTGTTTTATGGAGTCAGAGCAATGCTGTATATTATTGCAAGTACAAATTTATCTAATTCTCATATTTTTATGCTATTTGCAACATAAGTTTGACTTAATTTTAATGCTTTCTAGTATATAGATTGTTTGATTAGTTTTTTTCAGGACCTGTGAGGAGTTTCAGTAATATAATTTCTCTCGGGTGCTTGAGCTCTGAATGAACTTCCATAAGGGAGTGAAACCCACTAGCTTGTTCCTCACAGGTCAGGATGTGTAATAACCTTGAAGTAGGTGTGTGTGTGTGTGTGTGTGTGTGTGTGTGTGTGTGTGTGTTAGGGAAACAAACTTGTTACTGATATGGTTTCTGAGGCCCCTATTAAAACCCATACAAGCCCTTTGGGAAATTCTGTATGGTACATGTACAGTCCAAGCTTTGAACAGCCCTGGGGGTTGGCAGATCTCAGGAAATGCTACACCAAAATATGGTGCCTTGGCTTTTGAATACTTTCAGCTAAAGGAATTTAAGAAAATAGCAGAAGGAGGAGGTCACAGCTGACCTTCTCCCTACTTTTCTTCCCCCAGACACGTCATAAAACCATGATGTGAGAATCGCACTCCCCACACCCGGAGGAAATGAGCATCCTTATCTGGGAAGACAAAGAATCTGGACAAACAACAAATATGTCTTGCTAAGTCTCCCCCAGTTGACTACACTTACCTCATGCTCTTTAACCTAGCAGGCACGTGTCCCCTCTTACATTCAACTTCGCATGAGAATACTCATGTCCAACTCTTTCTTCGGGCCTTCATTTCTTCATGAGGTTCCCATGTCGTGTAAATTTTATACTCAATACCTTGATATGCTTTTCTCCTGTGAATCTATTGGTCGGTTTAACTTTTATACCCAGCCAGGCACCCTAAGAGGGTGGCAAACACTTCTCCCTGCCTTACAGGACAGTGTATCAGACAGGAGATTCCTGTATATTTTTTCACTCCGTGTGAAGGCTCATTCTCCAACTAGACAGAAATGCCCCCCCGCTACACACACACACACATACACACACACACATTTTTGCTATTGCCAATTTGGTCATTTGTCTAATCAGTGGTATCTCCAACAGAGAATGTAAGTTCTGGTTTCTAAGACTTTACCAGAGATAATTACTGTGTAAAACCTGATGCCTAAAAACACAGGCATTTGGATTTAGAGTGACTTTCCCATTTCACCCACTACCCTTGTGTGTTCCTAAAATAAAGCTCTTTCTATTCTGTGGTTAAAGCGAGGTACACTTACTGAGAAAAACAATAGGAAATCAGTACATGACTCTGGACCCGAATGATCTAAGCTAGACACAAATATGAAGAGCGGAAACCAATGTAATAAGGGCCGTGATACTTTGCAGAGTGGAAGTTACCAGTTGGACAGAGATTTACTCTCAGGCTCATGGGAGATTAGTCATATTTGCTCAGCAAATGAATAACAAAAGGCAGCTGGAGTGTTGGTTTTAATGTAGAGGCCATAATTTTTTAAAAGTACTTAGAAATCAGAGACTTGCAGTGGTATCTATGAGAATACAAACATCACCACAGACAAACTCCTTCTCTCCTCTGCTTGCACATCAGGGAAATAGGGATAACGATAGTCTACCTCTGAGTTGCTGGAAGGATACACTGAGACCATTGATGTAAATCCTGGTGGCAAACCTGGGACGAATGCAGAGTGAGTGTTGCTGTTGTTTATGATAGAACCAGGAAAATAATTACAACTCTCGATGACTATTAAATTCTCCCAGACCTTTTATTGACAGTGTTGCACTTGCTCTAGTTTGTTTCTATATTCTGTAAAGGTAATAAGACAATTATGCTATAAACTACACCATTAGTTCATTACAACTAGACTGCCCTCAAATTAATACTAATTAGTGCTGTTTATATGTCATTTCAATAAAGGTGTGCATGTTTGCTTTGTAATACCACTGGGAGGGAAAAAGTTAGGTGTCTTTTTGTTTTTAAGAATAAAAATGGAGGAAGCTAATAGAAAGTGAAGATGAAATATTTATTTCAAGCATTATTCAGTCACGTTAAGTGCTGCTTCTTAACAATGAGAACATTATCCATGATGCCAAGCAGAAGGAAGCTCTCTCTCTCCAACTTCAGCACCAGATTAGGGTGGGAAAGAGTGGGGCATGAGGCACATAAAAAAAATAAATAAATAAATGAAATGAAATAAAATCTTGAATGTTTCCAAAACTTTCAATCATTTGAGTTCGTCTGAACAACTTAGGACTCATCAATCATCTTTTTTAAATTGTGTAGGCAAGAAAGCTCAATTTGGGAGGAGTGGGCTCTGGAGTTGGCTCCAACATTGTTTATTATTTTCAAAAATAATTGTCCCAGTAAATTCAACTTAAAAAATTAGAGGTATCCTTTACCTTTTAGTGGTGACACAATCTAAAAGGCTCCCCTTGTACAAAAATCAGAATTTCCCAAATTTGCCAACCACACTATGAGTCAGCTGTAGAAACACCCCTCCTCAGACAGCTCTGGGAACCAGCATTTCTTTCTTTTCTTTTCTTTTTTTTTTAATATATTTTTATTGATTTTAGAGAGGAAGTGAGAGGGATAGAGACAAACATCAATGATGAAAGAGAATCACTGATTGGCTGCCTCCTGTATACCTCCTACTGGGGATCAAGCCCACAACCCAGGCATGTGCCCTTGGCCAGAATCGAACCTAGGACTCTTCAGTACGCAGGCTGACGCTCTATCCACTGAGCCAAACTGGCTAGGGCAGGGAACCAGCATTTCTAATAAGTGGCTCTAGTAATCAGACAGGGCAATGTTTCCTAGCAGTGGTTCTTGGCCCCGAGCTTGTACTGTAATCTTCTAGAGGCACCAAGGGCAGCAACAATGATGGATGACCAGGCCCCACCCCAAAGTAAATCAGCATCTCTGCAGTCGCCTGGCCACTACATTCTTTAAAGTGATCCAGGCGATGCAGACATATAGCCAGGGCTGAGCAATGCTGTTTCCCTGCCTTACTACTCAGTGCCATCAAATGACATGGATGAGCAGCACTGGGGACCTGGGAGAGGGTCAGCAAGGTAGGCCCCGCCCACCCAAGTCCCCTCAGTAACCATCTGTGTTTGATCAATTCTTGGGGATTTCTGCACATTGGAGGTCAACAAGGCCCTTCAAGTGCCTCTCAATAGAACATATCTTTCCTCCCCCTCCCTCTTCCCATTGCACCACCAGCAACACAAGTAGCTTCACATATTTTCAGGGGTCGTTTTCTTGATACTGTTGGCCACTCATTGAAAGCCAACTGAAGAGGGATAGGGTGAAGGCAACCTATCTGTTTCAAAATCATTTATTAAAGTATGTTAACAGTGTACACTGCCCTGACTCAAACACCCCAGCAAAATGTAATTGGCAGTTTCTGTTTTATGTTCCATAATCAAAGACATTAAGGATCACTAGCATTCACATCTGCAAATTCATTTAGACAGTTTTCTTTAATTAACGATGAAGACACTACAATTCTAAGTACCAGACAGAATCAGGGGGGGAAACTGAAAATAAGCATAACACTCTAAAGAAAACTTGGAAAAGTAAAACACTTCTAAATAAAAATATATACCTGGCCTGGTACCCATTACATATATACATAATGCATGTTATACACATATATACAATAAATGTTTTGGTAGCAATACAGACCATGCTTGGTCCTTTTATACACAGATGAAGTAGCACCATGAGCAGCACCACCATCTTCAGATGATAAACCAAACTGCACATACATGAAATAAAAAAAATATATATGTATTTAATTTGGCCCACCCTGTAGCCAAGAAGTGTAAGGAAAGAGCTTTGCAAGAAAAATTGTCCCAGGAACTATATTCTTAATCCAGTAGAAAAGTTCTAAAACAACGAAAGACTAAAAATGTCTATACAAATACAGGCAAGTTTTCCTGTTCACTGTATTTGACCTATCAGGTGGTATATTGGGTTAACATTGGGGAAATTAATCACTTAAGCAAAGAGAGAAACTGAAATGCAGGGTGAATGGCAAAAGTCTAAAACACCAGATCTCTTGGAACAAACCAGGAAAGGAGGACAACTCCCCAGCTAAGTCATACAGTTTCTAATCTTATAAGCTGATAATAAGCTCCTTATTACTGAAATTCCTTAAGATTAGGGTGAAACATCTTCAATATCCTTCTACTTCCTCCCAGCACTTACGTGATGTTCTGGTTACAAGAAGGGAGGGATACCTCAACATGCCACATGTTGCATATTTTCTCTGTCTACACTTAGGGGATGGATTACGGAGCTATGGAAGGACCTCCAAGGTTTTCTCTGTCTTGGCTTTGGAAATGACCACAGGCACCAGCATTCAACCATTGATGTTTTACTAACTACAAGAAGATTGTTTATGCTCTCCATAGCAAAGGTCACAGACTAGAGGTCTTTTCTTAGTATTGGCAATGTCACATTTCTTCTGTCCCTAGCAGCTCATGCTTTTTCCTCTCTGGGTTTCTCAGCAGCCTATATGAATGCAGCATCACCGCCAACCAACATTCACCGTGTCCTAGGAACACTCAACTCCCCTGTCAAGTCATTGCAAAGAAGCGATTTCATATTTGGCTTCCATCCATCCTCCTTCACATGCCTTCCAAAGGGTTCCGTCTCTCCCCAATCAAGGTCTTAATTCCCACAGTGTCTGGGGCTTCAACACCTCCTCATGTGATGGACTGACCCACAGAGCTCTGCCAAAGCACTTGGAGCACTTCACAGTCATCCCATTTCTCATGGCTCTTTTGTGTCTGTGGACAATGAGCTTCCCTCCCCCATCTTCAACCTCTTCTAGTAAATAAAGCTAAAATTTTCAACGACATGGCACATTGCATTCAGGAACACAACAGAGCTTCACAGGATTGCACAACCCTGTTTCTTACAGTGTAGTACAGTTGTTTCTTAACACTCTGTCTCACATTGAAAAGATAACTAGCTAGGAAACAATAGTCAGGGAAGGAAAAGTTAGAAATCTCTACCTCTGGCTAGATGATTTTTACTCCACCTCTGGCTAGATGATTTTTAGTAAATGAACATTTGCAGTCAACCTAGATTAGTCTAGAGAGTCCCTGACCTTTGAAAGTGAGCAAGAAATAGCCACCAATGTAACATCAGAACAGTATTGACTCAGGCAGTTGATCATTAATGGATTCTCTTCACTTCTAGCTGGTTCTAGAACTTTTTTTTTCTTTTTTTCTTTTTTGCCCAGAACAAAGCTATCATCGAAGTCATGAAATATATTTGTTCTCTCCACAAAGGAAAAATGTTAAAACTCTTCCTAAGTCTCTAAAAAAGAATACTATGAAAGTGGTCTCATGAAGAAAAAGCCAGTAACTTATAAACAGAGTCCACCTGATTCCCTATTAATGTGAGCTTTTAGCTGGCCTACAAATACTTTGAAATGGATAAAAGCCAAGTCTCCCCAACAGGAACTGAACACACGGATTCAGCAGCTGCTCAAGATCAACCTTCCCCCCCACCCCCCTTCAAATACCAGCAACTTCCAGTTTCAAATCGGTGAAATTTGATAGCACTTTCAAACCCAGCTTAGGGACCACTAGAAGCAGCTTAGATAAGAATGTCTACCCTTATGCCATTTAACTGAACAAAACATCAGAGAACTAGACACCACGAGATGGGGTTTTCCAGTCTGTTCATTCCTACTTTCACCCAGAATTGGTTGATAATGCCACATGCAGAGGTATCTCGGAAACAATCAACATTTAGGTTCCTTGAGAAATAATAACCAGCTTGACAGGAAAATGATAGGGGCTGACTTTGTTCATTGATTTCTGTTTGGGAAGAGCAGGATAGCCTACTGTCTCCTACACTAGCAAGAGTATAAGTCAGAATACTTGAAAAATGAAAGTTAGTTTGACCAACAAAGTGTTTTTCATAAAAGAGTAAAAGAAAGTTCTTATCAGATTTTTATAATTGGTAGTGTTTCTCCTAATAGGAAATGATGTAATTTAGCAAGTTCCTTGAAAACAATGGATTCATATGACTACAGACCTATTTATCTTAGAAATTGATGAGCATGCAAATGATTAGAATCTGCAACAATGAACATTGTACAACAGTCTGTGAGGTACAGGCCATCCAGTTGAATTAACAGTAACACAGGCCTCAGCAGTGTAAGGGGTTTCATGTATCTCCCCTCCCTTTTGAGGAGAGCACCCCCAACCCTGGCTCTTTCCTTTAGCCCAACCCTGCCCACTGAGCAGTTCTACAAAAAATAAAACGTTGCTACGTCAACAATAGGGCTGGGAATTTCTGATACAGAGTTTACACAGACTCCGAGGGAACCTGATATTGGCATTACTTACTTAATTTATAGGAAGTTTCCTGGTAAAAAGGTTAAAAACTCTGTAGGCAATATCTTTTAAGTCTGTTCATTGCCATTTTCTATTTCCAAAGGAAAAATTCCAAGATATGAGTACTTGCCAAAGAAGAAAAAAATTAACATTTTCACTGCTGGCAAGATATTTCAATAGCTGGTCATTAAGCTTTAGTGGGCTCTCTGTACACTGGGTTTTATTAACTAACCACTAATAGTCTAGTACCCACAAGGGCAAATGGGCCAAATTACATTCAGTTAAATCAAGAAACACTGGAAGTTCTCAGAAAGCATGAGATAAGCTGTTAAAGAAAGTGGCACGTAGCTCTGGTCAATACAAAAAAAAAAAAATTAAAAAAAACCAGTTTCTGGAATTTTAATTTCTGATTAGAAATTAAAGACAAGCTCACTTGTCTTAGTATCTTTCTTGAGACAGTGTAAGAAATGAAACATCCTGATGTGTGTACAAAAGAAAATGGTGCAATGTAGCAGGAAGCTTACAGAAGTGGGGGGAGGGGAGAAGAAAAGATCAACAATCTCTAGTTTATTATGAATAGACAGAAATTTCCAGAATTTACAAACACCCACATTGTTCATTCCAAAGAGAGCTTTTGATTTGAAGGGATTGCCCATGTCTCCTTCTCTGTACAGTATGTACAATGGAAGACTTTGATTTCCTTTTCTTATCTTTCGGCTTCCATTCAATTGCCAATGTTAAGCTGACACTCGAAAATACCCAGTAGACTATATACCTTTCTTCAGCTCAATTAACATGGCCTATTGCTTTACAGGAAAAATACAAAATTAAGATCGATTCTTGTAAGGATCTCAGCTCAACACCAGGGCTATAATACAAGAGATAGTATCAGCAAATATAACTATACAATTGAGAACCACCTATGGCACTATGATTCTTATATTATTTTTCTGAGTTACAATCTTAAAACAAGGGCCGTACCCTAGTCTACGCTTGTTAGCCTTGTTTTAAGCATTTGCTCCACTCTTTACAACAGAACATTGCATACCTCAGTTCCACATCTAAAAAAAAAAAAAAAAAAATGTGCGCTGTAAGAAAAGTTTCATTTTAATTAAAAAAATTACACATATAAATCAAAACCTATGTTAAATATTTAACACTCTCTCCACCCAACGCGAACTGTTTTGTGTGAAATAATTTACAACGATGCTCTGTCGCACAGTTTCAGCAGCAGATGAAATGTATCGTGTAGATGGCGATGAGAGGAAACCCATTCTCTCGCAGCATGGTGTGGGGCACAGCAGCTCATGTGGTCAGCTAAGTCCTTAAGGTTGAAGATGAAATTTATGCAGACTCATTGTCCTGGTGTCACAGTGCTTTTTTTTTTTGCTTGGCACAATAAAGAACGTGCAGTTCAGTCAACGGACTCCTGAGGATTTGTAAAGTAAACAAACGGAAATGGATGCATCGTACCATCTACAGAGGAGGAAGATGTGAGGTCCTGGTTGTGAATTGTGAAATAGTTCGAGTCTGGGTACCCATGAGTTAGAGGAGGATTTGCTGAGGTCATTTAGGTCTTCATTCTGAAAAGGAAAAGGAAAGAATTCATCACCTGGGCACCTGGACATCACTTACTACTAGAGAGTACGTCAACCTGGATAGAGAGGCAAAGTCAGTCACAATCAACCCTAGAACTTGGGTTCCTATTTCCAAGGCCCAGAGCTCTTTCCAGGAGACCACGCTACTGGCTCCGCTCACCTTGGCCGAACACTCAGCTCCGGGATGGTTTGGATAAATCTGGGATGACTTATTGGGAGAAACCTGGGAATACAAATAAGGTCAAATCATTTCTCTTTTCTCATCATACCCTGGAGATCAGGTTCTTTCTACTCCCTACCAAGCAAAGCTTAAAAAACCACCTGCTCCACTGCCCCACCACCCATCGGTGATGTGTCAGGCCTGCAGGGTCCCACTCTCATCCTTTGCAGTACATGTTAAGGAGTTAGCTCATCTGATCTTTTAGGATTGTCATAGGAAACCCTGAAATTGTTAGGGTTTTGGCTTTTAAAAAAGAAGGCCTATCATATCAGATGAACTGAAGTCACAGGCACAAACAGTACTGTGTGCTTAAATAAAATCAACAATCTGTATTTAACTTCTTTTTTTTCTCTCAAAATGCAAGAGTCCAAAGCAATCACAAACCCAAAGTGGTCAATATTAAGTCAGCAAACAAATCAATGTGATTTGGAGGTTTCAGAGGCTTAGCAACACAAAAATACACAGCGCTTTGATGTTCTTCCGATCAAAACAAAAATGTACATTACAGTTATTGTGGAAAACTACAACAAAATAGGCCAAGCAGGTAACAGAGGAGCTGTGCTGAATCTTCTTTTCGTTAAAAGCCATCTGCAAATTTTAGAATTTGAAGTCACAAGGCTTACCATTACAAAACCTGAAGTCGGGTTTTAACTTGCTGTTGTTCGACATGAGCATTTTAGGCACAAAAGGAAACCCAAGCAAAACAGACCAAGTTAATCATTAAATAAAATTTAAAAAAAAAAGATTCTGATTTAGGTCGAATAGAATAAATTATTCTGGTAGAACCACATTTCTTTTATACGATTCAAGAAGGCAGACCTCAAGGGTCGTTAATCCATCCCCTCCAATGAGTGGATTCACCATTTCAACCTCATAAAAGCTTCTTAGGTTCTCAAGTATCAACACTAGAGAGACTTTCTGGCATACATATTTTTCTTGTATTCTAAAGTTCTCTATAAATATCAACATTTATAGAATGTCCTGAATAGAGCAGTTAATTAATAAAAACTTGTTGCACTAAATACTATGGAGAATACAAAGCTGAATTGTGCCACAGGCCCTCCTTTCTAGAATGTCTAGAAAGGAAGCTCCATTCACAAAGAGATAGAATGCAGAGTAGAAAGGGATGAATTCCACGGTAGATGGGTAGATGCACAGGAAGAAAGCTCTAGGTGCACGGAGGAGGGAAAGGCTATTTTAGCTAGGAATAGAAGGGAAGTACCTCACTGATACACTTGGTTTGGTTTGGTTTGGAAGACAAAACAGCTTGGGGATGTGGACACAGGGATTGTGTTTATGTTGCTTCCAGTTGCATCTCCAGAGCTCAGCAAAAGGGCTGACACATAGCAGGTACTCACTAAATATGAGCTGAATGAATGATAGGGACAAAGCACACTCCATTGAAAGCACATAATGAAAGAAGGCTCAATCATGGACTGTTGACGCACGAGGCATCTGAAAAAGGGTAGAAGGAGTTAAGTCTACAAATAGAGATTGGGATAGATGGGGAAGAGCCTTGAATGGCAGGTCAAGACACTTTTATCTAAGTATAGGGGATAACAAGGATATACTGTGTTATGATCAAAGTGCAGTGGAGATCACCAATGTCAGCTGCAAGGACAGTGATGGCTTCTGAAACTCACACAATTAAAAATGTTGAGCAATATAGCTGTTTTGCTTTTCTCTTTCCTCTTGAAGGAGGGTATGGCTGAGATCAGTCAGCATTCACTATTTACATAGTGGCTCAGGTAGGTTGAAATTTACCAAATGAGACCTCAGTTTTATGAGATTTCTGTTTATTTTAAAATATTAGCTCTACCCCTAAATAGGTAAATAGCCTATTGTTGACAAGCAGACAACACATAACAAAAAGGCACTCCAGGGTATCCCATAATTGCCAGAGAAGCAGGATTGACTTTGCATAGTTTCTACAAGTGAAAGGCTAACCCATCCTCTCACAGCCCCCAGAGAATGGTCTACAGATCTCTTAGTTTCAAGTTTCTCCTGAATTTATACTGTGGTCTATCAGAATGTTCCTACCAGAGTATCTAGGTACAGCTTAACAAACACAGTTTCACAGTGCTGGGCTGAACATGAGGTAGGAATGCCACCCTTTACTAAAGGGCTGAGACCAACACACTGCTGCATGTGAAATGAAGGACAAGTAAAGGACCTGTCTTGTCATTACACAGGCCAGATCTTCAAGGATGCAGAAAGGAGGAGACTGGGAGCCTGATGAGAAATGAAAAATCTATACTGTCACCAGCGATGGGAATCTGCTGCTTTGGGGCACTCTGAAACCATTCCTGCAATTTCCCACCAACATGTCTATTCAAAGAGCAGGAAATAAAAGAATATATTAATTCCACTATCTACCTTCCCTCCAAAGTCTAGCATACTGTTTTCAAATCCCTTTATCATGAATTCTGATCAACACATGTCTCAGTCACTAATGGTACCTACCGGTGCCATCAACTCAGGAGTGTATATATGATAAAAGTGAAAGCACCTGACAGGTAATCCTGACTAGGAGGGAATGGGAATGGGAATGGGAATGGGAATGGGAATGGGAATGGGAATGGGAATGGAAATGGAGGGCTATAAACAGGCCATAGAGATCGGGAGACATTTTTAAGGGAACGTCTGAAGTTCACATCTGTTTATCTTCGTACAAGTGTGTGTGTATGTGTGTGTGTGTGTGTGTGTGTGTGTGTGTGTGTGTAAATATACATAAAGTTTAGCTACAGAGTAATGACATGGATTTTTAACAAGCATCCCTCAGTGGGAACTGTCTTTCACTGCAGCCACCTTGGGGTAATACTTATTTCAATCAAGCAGCCATTGTTCGGGGCATTTTTGGAATGCCTTCTCAAGTTCCCATTTCTTTTTCTGAGACTGCCTTCTCAGCCGTGGGTATATTCTTTTGAATGGTCTCTATAGCAGCCAGTCTTGTCCTTCAAAGGTCTATTTGATCTTTGGAGACAGCCAAAAAGCTTTGAGAGCCAAATATGGTGAATAAAGGGGCTGATTAAGCTGGGTAATGGTTCCCAGAGAGGTATTATCTAAAGCCAAAGGACTCCAAAATTGAAGTTCCCAAAACAGAGCTGTTCACAATTGCCCTGATAGTTTTGTTGGAAAGGAACTCTCATAACATTACAGGAAGACCATAGCATATGCTTCATGGACTTAAATTCAGCTGCCGATATCCTTGACTTTACACACATGTAATTCAAAAAGGGCTGAGCTTGAATAAAGGAAGTCACTTGAACAGAGGCAAACATGTATATCATGCATTTTTGTAATTTAGGAATTTGTTTTTTAAAACACACACACACACACACACACACACAATACCCATACTAGCCTCCTGCAGTCATTTAATTCAACAAACATCTGTTGTGTGACAAATGCAAATGCAATGATAAGGATGGTGATATGCACTAAAAAGCAAAATATTGGTGTATGTATATTTAATTCACTTTATATGTAAAACCCCAACTGATTCATACCAACCACATAAGGCAAACATCACTACGATGTTTTACAAATCCAAAAACTCATTTGTGACACTCATAAACTGGACATTAAAAAGCAAAATGTTTCCTTGCAGAAGAGCTGTGCAAATAGCAAATGGTAATGCTACTATGATACATTCTCTCTAGTTACATCATTGGGGAATAACTCGGGAGCCCAGAAATATGAAGCACCTGTCATGAGATTTAGTGGCTGGAAATTACATTCTGACAACCACGCCAGCATCGACTGTACCCTTCCGTGTGTCTTCTTGTAAGATAAAACCCACCCAGTCCTATTGCCAGTAATGAAAAATGTAATTTCTGAAGCATGATCAAATACTGGTAAGTCAACACTTGAGCAATGCTACTTGAGACCTATGGCTTATTGCATTAGTGCATCCGGTAGGAATTTACATATTCTGGATGGGACCCACTTCAACCATGCCTACTACAGCTGAAAAACAAACAAAGCTACAGCTGCCTTTCACACTGTTAGCCTACCCATGAGTCTTCACTGTGAAAGCAGCTGAAAGCAGCCCAAGGTTATGCCTATAAGTACAATGAAGTGATCAGTCCTCTTTCATCAATGTATTTTTAGTCAAAGTCATTGATTAAAAGCTTTTATCTTGTATTTAAATGTGTTGAAACCTCCTGCCAATTTGCTGAGTCAAGTGTAACAAAGTTACAAATACCTGGTTAGAGCATAACTAACAGATTCTACTTTTACTAAGAAAATTGGAGTAAAATATTATAAGCTGCTTGGCAACTGTCAAAGTTAGTCAGAAAGTAACTCTTCCTCATCCAACAATGTTTGAAAAAAAGATGACTACAGTAATGACTTTTCTTCAAAGGAGATCATTCTTTGAAATATTATATTGTTTGATTCAACTAGAAAAATTCGTATAAATAAATTCCTCCTCTTAAAGAAACATGTTAAAACAGCATATTTCTCTTTCTCTTAATATAAACAGCTGTGACTTAAAAAAAATTCTTGAGTATAATACAGAAAAATTCTTGAGTATAAGTGATAGTCTAATAATAAATGTTTAAATAGGGTAGGAAAATAATATTTTGATCATGTTTAGATCTTTCCCATTCTTAAAAAAAAAATTCTGTGATGAGAAAATCTATGGAATGCTAACCAACTTTTTACATCTCTAGGTATTCTATCCCTTTCTTATACTCTCAATCCTTTCTGCAGGGGCAGAAGTATGGCAGATTGACAGTAGAAATCGCCTCTGTCTTCCTGG